TGCGCTGTGCAAGCAGGTAATGGCTTACACTTTCTTGATGCTGTACAATCGGCATTCGTGTTGAGGCGTCCATGACCTTTTGATAAGGCATGACAACTAACGTGTTCACTGCAGCTTCGATTTGTGATTGCACATGCCTAGCTTCCAGTACACAGCTGCCGCCTCAGCAAGGTGAAGCAACTTCTCCAGAATATTCTGAATATCCTTGGTCATTGAATCATTGGATAGCAGCTAGATAGAACCACATCTGCTGTACGTTGCAGTTGTCAGAATAGGTTGGCATTCAGTATCAGAAGGGATTCAGAAGGGCAGGTGGGAAGCATTTGGACATGGATTCCCCCAAAAAGACAGGAGTCTCAGAGTGGGTCAAGAACAGGGATAATCCTGTGCAATAATCGCTGAGACTCAGGGATTCTTGCACAGGATTCTCCCTCTTCTTGACCCACCAAATATTTACTCTTGATGCTGAAAGCGCACAATCCAAAATTATTCAATGTTTAGTGACATTTCCCCCATATCTATTTTTTGAGCTACACTGCAAACCTTGCGATTTAGTTATCATTCTCAAGCTGCCCAAATCGTGAAAGCCATTATCTTTTTCCATTTGGTACTTTGATGGCACATTCCCTTCATGTGGTTTAGTCATCCACTGTATTTCCCCACATAAAGAAAGTTGTTCCATCCACTCTAACTCTTAGTCATAATCCAGTCCTTGAGCTGCGGAAGGGGTACCCTTGATGACTTTCAAGCAGAAATGGTTTCGGATGGACCAACCCTGTTGAAGAAACTCATAGTTTGCTGATCAGCGGTGGGGTCAGGCGCTGCCTTGCCTTCCAGGCTAGATGCCACCAGAGTGTGACCCACAGAACAACAGGGCCTAGCTGTCTTTGAGACCTGTTCAAGCTTTTGTAGGACATTGTACACAGCTTGGGGATGCGTGTTTCAAGTTTGTGGTTTCTGAGCCTTTCAAGGAAGGAACCAGCTACGAGAAATAAAAGGGCACTGGTTGTTTGTTTAGACGCAGCTGATTCAGTGAGCTGTGTTGCAAGCATTCCTGAGTGCTTCCTGAGGTTGGGCTTCTTCTTCTGCACTCGCAATTTTTTCAGGCGCCGGCTTCCGGGATGGCGTTTGTCGTCTAGAATGGATGCAGAGTGGGTGAATGTGAGTGATCCATACCGTTTTCTTGCACATCATTGCAACCCTGCACCTTGTCAGCCAAAGCCTATATGGATGGTTGTCCTTTTGCTTTCCCTATGAGACAAGGTGATAAGGGTACCCCGCATTCCACTTCGAGCTTTATGCATGAGCCTCGTTATAGCAAAGAGAAAGTTGGGACAGCGGGCACCGAACATTGATTTAGAGCACAATTCAAACTGGTGACCCTCCACCCCTTGACGGTCGGGGAATGTAGGAGCGGTGCCCAGTGGCGTACTTGCCTTCGTGGTGCTTTGTAGACAGGTTCTCATGTTGTTTGTTTGTATATAAGTGTTGGCAGGCGGCTACCAAGAGCAGTAGTTATTTGTTGATTCTGCCTAACTGCATGCGGGAGGTTTTGCAACATGTTCTTACATCAAATCTGCGGCCTATTGTTGATGACATGCTCACTGGTAGGTGCAGACACATCTTGTGGATGTCTTCTTGCGCAGGCCTATTCGCTTGGTGGGTTGGTTAATTGGTTTGTTGGTTGGGTGATTCGTTGGATCGTTGGTTCGTGGGGTGGGCGGGCGGACGGGCGGGCGGGTGGGTGCCTGGCTGGCTGGCTGGCTGGCTGGTTGTTTGGCTGGCTGTCTTGCTAGCTGGTTGGTCGGTTGGTCGGTCAGTCTCGGTCAGTCGGTCGGTCGGTCGGTCGGTCGGTCGGTCGGTCGGTCGGTCGGTCGGTCGGTCGGTTGGTTGGTTGGTTGGTTGGTTGGTCGATTGTGGTCAAGTTGCTCAGGTTGTGCCGACTATATTCCGAGGGGATAGACAAGTTGCTTGGGGCTGGTGATGGGTGATTTCGCGGCTGGCAAGTGAGCTAGGAAGTTTTCGGAGCCTTCTCCTACCCCACCTCAGGAAACAACTATTTGGATGTGTCTTATTTGAGGATTGTGGCATCCAGTCAACTCCACCTCATAGTCGACACCAACCATCTCCAGCAACAACACACACACACACACACACACACGAAGAAAACCAAGATTAAGCACCTCCAAGAAGCCAACCGAATAGTGCAAAGCGCTCATCTACCAAGGGCTCCCTCTAAACGTGACCAAGTGACGACTGCTGTACATCCATTCCATCGTACATCCATGATGCACGTTCAGCGACCAAGGATTGACACTACCCTCATGAAGGAGTGCCATGGATTTTGAAGAGCACAAACTTGAAGCGGGAGAATCGATGACTATGATGTCCTAGCTGAAGGCCACGAACCAAGTCCAAGCGGACAGAAAGGTTTGCCAGAAGATGAAACCGGCCTGACAGAAGCAAGGAAGCAGAGCAGCTTTCTAGAGGATATCCTGGATTGCAAGATCAAGCAGCACAAGCAGCACAACCTGGAAGGCTTCACGGAGAGACACTGCCCCTTGTAGAAGGGCAGCTACTTCACTCAACAACACGAAGGCTTGTAGGATGAAAGTCAAGGAAATGAAGGAGTATGCCGAGAAAAAAGGGAGACAACAAGTGAGAGCGGAGTGCGCAGGCTAACCGCCGCAGGCGGCTCAAATGCAAAAGGATTTGAAACCCGCGAGGTTTCGTCACGAAGCCACATCTTCACCAGTGCCGCTTCAGCGTTTTGATGGCTCCCCTCAGGCCTTGGGCTTTGGCTCGCATGAAAAACATCTGCCAGAGAGCATCCGACACAAGCTGGCAGCCGTGCTTTTGGAGGGCCTGGGAGTCAAGCCCATGGCTCGGAGTTGGATTGGATTGCAAGGTGTGGCAAATTTGGTTCTTGAGAAGCCAAACTGAGGAATCGACCGGATCACATCCAGTTGGCTCTGAGCAACAGAGTGCCCGAAGTAGAGCACCCATGTTGGCTAGAATTTGACATCCTGAGACGCCAAAAAAGGAAACCACTCATTTTGAGGTGTTGGGGGCGGGGGGCATTTTGGGAACACTCACCCACAGGTGTTGCTAGGACCGACTCGCCGGAAAATGGGCATGTAAACTGAAAGCGCACGCCTGTGCAGAGAAATCTGTTGTTTGGAGATTTGACCTGCCTTTGTTCCATATGCATTGTCAAAGGAGTAAAGCGCTTGTGTTGCCCGCAGGTTTGTTTCAGATACTGCCTGCCACGCGTGAAATGGGCGGAGGCGCAGGGATACTCGCCGGCCGAGAGTTATTGAGTTTGGTTCCTTTTGTTTGGGGAATTTTGGTCCCAATCCTCACAATTGTGGCTGCGTAGTAGGACCTATTAGGTTCAAGAGGGTTCCTGTTGGTCAGGATTCCAGCCTTGGCCACAGGCAGTAGATTCGTCGCGGTCGCAATCATCAGGAACATGTGCTGCCCAAACTGCGACTGTGCTGCTTGTTGTCATCAAATCGGTACCAGCAAGGAGCCTGGTTTTTGGCTGTTTGTCGACCTGCCGGCTCGAGTGAAGTATCGGCGGTGGCCCCCAGGTTGCGTGCAAGGATGTCCCAGAACTTCATGGTTGCACACCTCAACCAGATGTTTCGAATCCTCCTAAGCTTCTCCAGAGAAAATTCCAATGTACATCCATTTGTGTTTTCCACATGAAAGTTTGGGCCAATGTTGGCCTTGTACGACATTCAAGAGCAGCGGATGGTTCATTTGCAGGCTATATGAGCCACAATCAAAACCCGGCGGCTGCCTTCTTAGTTCTTTGCATGGTTTTGGGTCGACCATTCTTGTACCGGGTTTTGATTGTGACTCATATGAGCTTCATTTTCCGGGTTTCGAGAACTGGCAAACCCTGGGTGCAACCTTTTCGAGGGAGTGGCACCCCCTGATCAAATCCGCATGGTTCTGCTTCCATCCTGGGAAGGAAAATCGAAACTCACACCAAGCCAGGGCCTCAAATAAGACTCCTTCCGGCCAAAGGTATTTCGGTTTTTTGACTCCCTGCCTCTTGGCTTTGGGATCCAAGAAACAGTTTGGGGGGTGGACCAAGACAGAGACCCCAAATGAATCAAGGGCCACGGGCACTTCTCATTTTAGTTTTTTTTTTTTTTTTTTGTTTCAAGTGGCCTTTGATTGTTTCGGGTTGAAAACCCCCACCTGCGCAAGCGCTAGATCCTGCCCATGGTACCCCGTGTTGCTTTAGACATGTCAGCTTCCAGGGCGTATTCAACATGAATTGTGTTGATCAATTCTCATCCGTTTCACGGGCAAAGCCTGGAACATAAATTAACATGTTTGCTGCATCTGGATTGCCAGCACGGAAGCGCGATGCGTGACCGTTTGCAGCAGCAGTGAAGTAGACTTGTTGACTTGCTTCCTTTGCAGTAGCTGGTGGAAGCCATGGTTGAGAAATAAGGCTGAAACAGCCGGCGTGTGGCCCCCGTTTGAAGGGGAACTCATTGCGGGCTGCTCAAACAATAAGCGTTTAAGCAAGTTTGAACTAGGGTTTGGCCCAACCCTTGTGGAACCAGTTTCTTCGATATTTGTCGCCAGGTCGACACTTTCTTGGTCCTGGCTGCACTGTTGCTGAGTGTTTTGACACTCATAGCCATGGCCTGAGTTGCCGGAGAGGAACCAAATGCATGCCACGCAGTTGAAGGCGTTATGAAGGGAAGCCAGGGGTCATGGGGAAAGGGCCCCATTCTATTGGATGAGGACCCCTTCCCTCTACATTAAAGCGGGGACAAGTTATTTTGCAGCTCTATGGGTTGATTTCTCATCCTGTTTTTGCAGTTGCTGTTTTTCTTGGAAGAAGAACGAAGAAGACAACTTTATTTATTTTTCTCAACCGCTTTGATGAGCAATGGAACAAGGTTTGGTACCTGATCTTCGAGTAGGATACGCTGTGCGTTGCTCTGTTGAAGCTGTACCTGCTAAGCCTGTGCTGCAGCAACCAGTTTCCAAAACGACCTTGCCGCTCTGATTGGTAAGGAATGGGAATGTGTGTTTTTGTTTGACCCCGAGCTAATCCTTTGGCCAAGCAACTGGCGTAGGGCTCTTTGCGGGCTTTGGGAGTGATCCATGCGCGGACAAGCCCAGATAAAGCCCACGAAAGTCAGCCCTCTATTTTGTGGATACGCGTGCGATTCCATACCCTTTCTATCGTTGATTTAAAGGGAAACCAGGGGAACACCACACATTCTGCGGGTATTTGAACACACACGCAAATTTCCTCCCAGGTTCGTATCGCTGAAACTGCCGGCCAAGTGTGGGTCTTCGATGTGCTCTACGTGCCGTGGCAAATAATTTGCCTGCCCTGATGTGGATTGCCTATTTCAAGCCAAAATCAAAGCCCGGGTAGATGAAGGTCGGAAAGGGACAGTCCCAACCATAGGTGGAGCTGCTCTTTTATTTATCGTTGGTTGTGGGTAGACCATTTCAGTACCGATTTACTTGGCTTGTACCTTTGCCAAAAGTCGCATACCATGCTTGAGTGTTCAGCATTGAAAAACAAGGACCAGGGCAATGCTTAATTGTTGCTGGAGAGTTGGCTCTATTCTTGTCAATGTTGGCCTTTCGGCGGTCGATGTAAATCGACGGGAGAGAATAGGCTTGCTTCCCATGCCATTGTGATGGATAATTCCGGTGGATACACATTAAATGAGGTGACTGTTTGGGAGGTATGTTGGGTTTCCAACAGAAGTGCTTTCCTGTGTCCAAAGCAGAGCCACCACGAAATCAGGCATGTCCTCAGTCTGAACATGCAGCTCACATCAAACGCACACGAAACAACCAAAAAGCCTCCAATCTCCAACCTTCTTCTTGCTGCATAATATACTTCAACAGAGTATTGAATAGTTTGCAAAATGCATCGTTTGAGCCTGCCAAAGATTGGCCACAATTTCCACGCCTTAAGAAGAAGACTGGGTTGCCAACCTTAATCTGCAGTCACCTAAAAATATTAGTCATGAACATGCAGGATGCACAGTGGCTCTGCCATGAAGGATGACAGCCACGCTTACACCCCCTTTGCACCCGTGGGGAAGACTCACATGGACCAAAACTGGAGGTGTGTGTGTGTGTGGTGGGGCGATGGGTGCCTTTTTTTGGGGGGTGGCAGGAGCAGTTTCATGTTAGACTCATTGCAAAGGAGCAACACTCCAGGCTCAACCCAGGCCACAGCTGTTGTAATTTCGCCAATGTCAGATCTTCGGAATTCGAGCCTAGTTCCAGCTGTAGTACCTTTTTGTGGGCCATCCAGCCAACCTTGCTCTTTTGCAGGAAGACAACTGAGAATATGATTGGTAGGCAAATTACCTGGAAAGACGCCACTGGCTGGGCCCAGCCATGTCTTTCCGGTCTTGCTGGATTTCGAGATGGCACAAAGTGTTTATCAGCCGGATTCATATCTTTGGCGATTCCGTTACGCACATTGGGCACCGTGTATCATTGTTGGCTTTGTTGCCTGCTCCAGCGGTTACTGGCACTGCCTCTCACCAAAGCTTAGAAGATGAAATGACAATTCCGGATCTATGTTGAGGATCAGAACATAGGCGTGGCAGCTTGTCAGGCAAGAGCCTCTCGTGCAGTCAGCATTTCATGACAGCTTTCGACAAATGAGGCACAGTGATCCTTGACACTTGAGGATCGACCCGCATCCCTATGTGTGTTGCGCAATTCACCTACGAAAGAAGAGTGATCATTCCGGCATGAGGTTGTCATCACGGTGGCGGCAGTCGTTTGCTTGATTTTGAGGACCGGGCACTGCGTCATGTTTTGGACTTGCAAAGAACAGATCTCATCAAATCTTGATCCAGGCATGAACGACAGACTAATCATCGCCTTGGCAGCAACTTGACAGGAATAGATGTGTGAGTAGGCCATTCAACGAGTAGTCCTTCACCCAGCTGCATCCGAATACCAGTTTATGGATTCATTTTGATACAGTTGACACCATTTACCATAGTTCAGGTACTGTTTTTCAAAAGCGCCAAAAGGCTTTTGAAGGGGGAGAGGAGCGGGGGGGGGTCGTTGGTCGTTTGTGGTTCCTGATGACCCCTTTGGTTGAACCTTCCATCACTGCCGTTTGGCGCAAAACCTAGGGAGCCCTTTTGCAGCTTTGCTTTGCCTCCACAACACTAGCACGTGGCAGACACATGGCGCATGGCTCTGTGGTGACTTGAGGGCATCACACAGTTGGGGTGCTTTTGGGTACCCGGTTGCAGGGGTTGCTCCCAATCGAGATTGGTAGCGGAGCGTGCACATCACAGTCGAGGTCAAGGACTAGAGGTCGAGAAGAACAAAGACTGCAAAACACAAAAGCACTGAGGCAAATGTCTGAGCTGGGGCCAGGACCTTTTGTCTGGGGCTTACCCGGTTGAATCAATTGGTCCCCTTTGAGAGCGCTGGCAGCAGTGAAGCGTGCGGGCACGTACGGTGGCCCAATGCGGGCTGGAATCCATGGCAGTGTTTTGCCCGATGGATAATTCTGTGGGTCCGTGTTAGCATGCTCACGTGAACTGCCGTACAGTAGTGTTCGCTGCAAATGCGAGGTGTGTTGTTATACAAGCGTGTTTCTTGGGAGGCAAGTTGCATGCTGGGAGTGTTGGGCTCTTGCTTCGGCCCTGGCTCTGGGCCACTTGCGTTGCCCTGGTACCAACTGCTCCCTACACCTGCCTGGGTTGTTGCATGTCGCAACTTCATACTGACTTACTGACATTGAGACTGAGCTGGCCTTTGTGAGCGCAGCTTGTTGGGCATCTTGACAAGTGGGTTTGCTTTTGCACGTTTGAAGCTGGCCAACGAGGGGCCTCCAGTTTTTGGGCATCTGATTTGCAAGTGGGCCTCAAAACTACAGCTTTGCAGCCCACGATCCAGGATTTGGCTGCGGGCCAACAGCAAACAACCCGCGGGATACTGCAGGTACACAAGGGCCCTCTTGCGTTTCTTCTACTATTGCGCATGATTATTTGGGCTGCAGGAAAGCGGAGGTGCGCGTCATGGACCTGCAGCAGGCAGGCCCATATCCGGGTGACCGAAAGGGGTCAAAAGATCAGCTCATTTAGAGTCAGCAGGGATGATTCGTGGACCCTTGAGTAGGGATGTCCGGCGACTATTGCAAAGCTTCATCGTAAAGAAGCCATCATCCGCAGAACCCGGTTTGACCATGGCACATGCCATCTTGCATCTATGGATGATGATGGCAGACAAGATTCAAATCCTAGGTGTAGGATTGAAATTTGACCAAGTTGCAGGGCTTGGATGGTTCCGTCTGGTTTACATTGGTTCGGTTTATGGGCACCGGAAGTCCAGACAACCTTGACGTTCTTGGTTTTGGGGTCTCTATATACTTGGCTTTGTGTTAGTTTTTTAAGCATCACCTGTGGTCCCCGTTACAGTGAGTTCAAAGGGGAAATATAGCAAGGGGCTCCTGTTTCTCAGCTTTCCTGACATATGTCGGGCAACATGATGACACTCTCTGCATCGATGGCTCGCGTCGCTTCTACTGACAAGTAATGATCCCACTTGTCTCATACAAAATGGACCCAGGGCACTGTCAAGGTGCAGTTGGTAGGCGACTGCCGTGTTAAATGGAAACCGAGAGTTTCTATACTGAAGTTGCGCAAGTATCCAATGGGAAAGATGTGAGCAGTCGTGCGAAAGGGTATGAATTGTAGATGTGGTAATCACCGGCAGCATTGTTTTGGGCTGTATTATACAAACAGATGCGCTTTTCAGCCGGGTTTAGCTGGGCCCAGCTGGGCGTTTTCCAGAAATAGGGGGCCCAACACAAATTCATGGTTTCCGATTGTTTTGCATCACAAAAAAGCAAAGGCGGGTCCTCAGTTTACGGAAAAAGTCCCTGGCTGACATGGGCAAGCTTGGGGACCAGCTAGCAGAGGTGTCGACTCAAGGCAGCAGTTCATGGGGGGGCACAAGGCTGTGGTGATGAAGGCCATGACATTGAGCAGAGTTTGCAGATACATGAGCCAGGGTCAGTAGTCACTATTGTTTACTGTGGCAAGGGGAGGACAACACTGATCAAATTACCATTACAACTGGGGCTTGTTCACCAACATCCAATTCAAGTGAGAGTACCATGAAGAAAAGCAGAAATTCCAGCGTGCTGCTTTCCAGCCTTCATCTACCACAACACGTTATCAGGAAGCAACCGGACGCCCGCGGTTCAAAGGAAAAAAAGGCGCTCAAGCGCTCGCAAGAGCATCCGTCGGCCTTTGGAAGGGCGGTGTGTCGGCTTTTTGATCTTTGTGGCGACGTTCCTGACCGAATGCCCTTGGCTGATTTCTCCGTCGATGCATGGGATGACGCGAAGCTTGGAAAAGTCCAGGATTACCTTGCGCAGACAATGCGGCAATCAGAAAACCTGTCTCAAGCGTGTCCAACAATGTCTTGATAGCAGCATGTAGGTGCCCAGGAGGTGGTTTATGAAGCATCCTGCGGATGGCTACATTTTCGTTGATGCAGCATGTCGTTTGGACATTTCTCCAGGCATGTTCATTCTGGAACACTTCAGAAACGACATGTCATGGATTTCTGTTTGCTTTGTCCACCATGGACCTGTTTGATCTTGCTGAAGGGCCTCAGGACTATGCGTTGTAGCAACACTTCTGCAACTTGCTGTTGCCTGTGCAGCGAAATGTGAGGCCTAGTTGTACGCGTTCAGTCAAATGCCCTTGCAGCTTGCATGAGGACGTGAAACACATGTCAGTGCCCTTGGCTAGCATCACAACCCTTTCAATATCAAGTTTCACAACCGGACTTTGGAGGACAATGACAATCCCAGCTCAAGCAAGGTATCCTTACTCAAAGAATTACCAGAATAGCACCAGTGTGAATCGCAGTTTATTTGGCCACAGTTACGTTTAAATATACGACATGTATTTGTGGGTTGCTGGTAAAGAGGGAACTGATCGAAACACAAGTCTCGCAAGCCACAGGCCGCTGAGGATCAACTACCTGCAAGCAATATGGGGCGCGTTAAACAATGCCGCCTCCAAAAAGACTTTGCAAAAAATGAAATTGGCGCGAACCAATTGAATAGTTGCCTTTACTTGTGACGCGTGGTGTTCACATGGGTTGTGTCTTTCCTAGGGCACCCTTTGGCTTTGGTGGTTGTGTTAAAGGGAGACCACAGCGGAAGTAAGCATTTTTTGGTATCGAAACTTGCACAGATCCTATTGCCAATCTTAGTAGGCGGTTCGATTACCTGGTTTTATTGGGGTTAGAGTAAAGCCAATATAAACCTTCATCACTTGCAAGTTCAGGTGCCCACGATGCCCGTGCTCTTCTTTGCGGGTGCTGCAGCAACGTTTTGCTCACCGCACGTGGCCTCAGAGAGAGCGCAGCCGGGTAGAACTGCTTGGGACCAATGTGCTTCCACAGGGTCCCTCAGGAAACGGACGCTAAATTCTAGTTCTATTGGTGTGCGCTACTCGTAGTACCCTTTCTGCCCATGGTATGCCACGCCGCCCCTTTCTCGTGGATCACAACTTGCAAAATTGATTTGCTCAACTGGCCTCTTTTCTGTGCTTCTTTGAGCAGAAGCTGAAGTTCGCACAGGCGGAAGGCAACCAGCTCACGCCCCTGTATTCATCACTTAATGATTTTAAGTCTCGCGACTCTGTTGGTGTCCCACTGGTGATTGCGGATCAAGATGAGGGATCCCAGAACCCAGCAAACTGTTGCTGCCGGCAACACTGTGCAGCCCATTCTGCTGTGAGCTTTCTGCACGCTCACTGCCGGCAACAAGGCGGACCGGGTTGCCAAGGTCAGTTTCATCTTTGCCGTATGCTGTCATTTTTCTCATCCTTCTAGACTCCCTGCCGCGCACTGAGATTGGGAGTATCTCGAGGGGGGGGTGCAGAAGCTTGAGAAGCAAAAGAAGAAGGGCTAAGACTCCTGAGAAAAACATGTGTCCTTACATATTAATTTGGTTGAACATATTCGCACTTGGCCCGAATCATAATTTTGCCAGTGACGAACTTTAGTCCCACACAGAATGTTGGGAAGATGCTCTTGCTTGGATGAGCGGCATTGCGGCATGTTGATTTGTACTGGCTATGCTTGAACGGTAAAACTGCAATAGGTACAATTTCAATATGTGGTGGGCTTACGTATGTTGATGGCTGAACATTCACTAATTGGGACGCAGTTTTCAAAGGGAGCATCAGAGAATCGCGGCGCTCGCTATGGGTGAAGTCCTTTAGCTACAGGGCATGTGGGATTTGACGGCTTGACTTGTGTGAGTCCTTGGGCTTATACGGATGAGATTGAACCCCATCTTTCAGGTAGGCAACAGGAACGAAGGATTGACAGATCCCTGGTTTGATGAATATTTCGGGAAGTCCTGCACTTTTCTCTCTCTTTCCCCGGATAGCTGAAAGCTGTAGGGGTTCTAACTTGTAATGAAGAGGGAAACGTGATTTGCGAGATTGGGCTGGTGCTAGGGGGCGTGCTGTTTGGGGCGCTGTTTGGGGCGCTGTAGGGGGTGCCTGCGTGATTGACGGCTGGGTGCTAGCGGGCATGCAGGGTGACGGTGCGGGCGCATTGATTGACGCTAGGGTGCAAGGGGGCATGCAGATTGGGGTGGTGGTGGTGGTGGTGTTTTGGGATGCTGCTTGGGGTGCTGTTTAATGTGCTGGTGATGGCGCGGGTGCATTTTCGCGAGATTGACGGCTGGCTTCTTTGGGGGTGCTGTTTGGGGGGACGGTGCGGGTGCATTTTGCGAGATTGACGGCAGGGTGCTGTTTGGCGGGAGGTGCTGTTGGAGGTGCTGGTGTACAATCGTCGGCATGTTGTTTGTTTTCCTTTTTTGTTTTTCGCTATCTGGCGTCTATGCTGAGCTGGTGTATATATATTTTTTTTGGCGGGGGGGAACCGGTATGAATCCGCAGAGTTGATTCACCCGGGGCCGCCCTACGTGAGCGCTCTCCACGCGGATGAGATGGGGATGGGTCCGAGAATAGTAGGACCCTTTCCTTGGCCTGTTGTGATTTGTAAACCAGAGCAAGCAGCTGAGAAGGCCTACATTTGAGTTGTTTCGACATTTTTGTCAACACTGCCGGCATCTTATGTTAGGCGAATCTCTTGGATAATGACAGTGCTTGGAATAATTACATGCCCTCCAGCCGGCTGACCGTGAAAGGTCCTAGCGGCGTAGATTATTCGGGTACCATGGTTCACCCATGTTGATGTGGTGCCCCACTGCGAATTGCGGATTAAGATGAGGGATCCGCCCATTTTGAGCAACCCTGGTGTGCAGGCCCGGACGTGCAAACAAAAACCATTTGAGCGGGGTTCAAAGCCTTTGCACTACGATTGAAGGGGGGTGGTCACAAGGGCGCCCCGCGTAAGGCAAACATGTGGCGACGTGAGGCCGCGTAAGTGTGTTGCGCAAGTGCGAGTGGCGTGCCTGCTCGCGTATG